AAAAAAAGAAAAAAATGACAATGATTGTTTTGGACAAATTGCTTCTCATTGAGGTATAATTTTATATAATGATTTATAAAGATGTAAACCATTCAGTGCAGAGGTTTTAAGCAGATTAAAATACCTTAATACTAGTGTTGCAAAAGGGAGCTATTTATGTGACCCAGTGTGATTCCTGGTACCACTTTGAGTTACATCCTCCGAATAAAGGATACATTCCCTGATTTCCAACACTGTACATTATGTTTGCTTATTTGGGGACTTAAACAACTGAAACCACACTGTATATTCTTTTGTGTCTGACTTCTTCATCACATAGAATGTATCTAAAATTTATTCAAGTTGTTTTGCATAGCCATTTTGTGTTTATGAATAAAACTTATTCACAATGTTTGGTAGCCTATTTTTTTTACTGCTGAGTAATATACCATTATATAAATATAGCACATAGATAGTATATCTCTTCTCCTGTTTGTAGCATTTGAGTTAATTTTAGTTTGGGACTATTGTGAAAAGGGTTTTTGAGCATTCATTTCTCTGTTAGGCACCTACCAGAAAGAATTGATAGCTATAATTTATAAGAATTGGTACCTAATAGTACCTGTAGTACTCTAAAGTGATTCAATCAGTTTCCACTCTTACCAGCAATATCTGAGTTCCCATTTCTCCACACATTCTCATAAGTATTTGATACTGTCAATCTGTTAATTTGAGTCAGTTTTATATATATGAAATTATATCTTATTCTGATTTTAATGTTTATTTCCATGATGACTAAGATACCATTTAATGTGTATATTGAACTATTCTGTCTCTTCTTTTGTAACATATCTAAGATGTTTTACTCACTTAAAAAATTGAGTTATCTGGGGCCAGGCATTTACCTCAGCGGTTCGGTGGCCTGCCTTGCAAGCGCAAGGACCAGAGTTCAATCCCCGATACCAAAAATTAAAAAAAGTAAAAATTGAGTCATCTTTTTATAGTAAAAAGATTTGTAGAATTTTAAAAATATAGGTAATCTGAATATGAATCATTTGTTGCAAATATTTAATTTGAATATTGGCTTGCATTCTTAATGGTATTTTTTTGAGAATTGGAAATATTTAATTTTGATAAAATCCTCTGTATAGCCTTTAAAATTACAAAATTACATAGTGAAAATTACATGATGTAAATTTTCCAGTTTTAGTTCTTCTCATTGAAAATTGTTTTTCATTTTTTATAAATTTTAGAATAAATTTGCTGATTTCTTCTAAAATTGCTTAGATTTTAGCTGGGATTGTCCTAATGTAAACATTAATTTAGAGAGTATAGACATGTTATTAATATTGTCTTAATGATTGAACATGAATCATTGCATTTATTTAATTTAAAAAACTTTTTCAACATTTTCAATATTTTGGCATAAAGACATCTCATATTTTTGCTATTTCTTGATTTGTGATATTTTTGATACTATTAAAAATACTATAGCCGGGTGTGGTAGTGTACACCTATAATCCCAGCACTTGGGAGGCAGGAGTTTGAGAGCAGCCTGGGCTACATAGTGAGTTCCAGGTCAGTCTCAACTACATAGTGAGACCCTGTCTCAAAAAACAAAACAAAATAAGATACTCTAAAGTTTTCTTGCAATTTATAGCTAGTTTATTTATACACTTAAAACTATTAACCTTGTGTCTTATGTTCTTGAAAAACCATTTATAAGTTCTTGTATTTAATAGATTCCAAAGTATTTTCTATGTAGATAAACAAAATGAACATTTTCTTAGTATAATAAATTATAGTAGTTGAATTTTTATTTTATTTTATTTTTGGTACCGGGGATCAATTTTGGGTTCTTGTGCTTGAGAGGCAGGCACCGCAACTACTGAGCTAAATCCCCAGATAGCATTGAATTTTTATTGTAAAGCAGTTTCACACTTGTACTATAAAACTCTGCTTGGTCATTACTTATTTTGTATATTGCTAGTTTTAATTGCTAATACATTTGGATAGACTTTCACATCCATGATCCCAAAACATGAACCAAAAATGAACCAGTTTCAATGAGTAGATTTTTCAAGGACTGATAATCTCACCAGCCCACTTATTATCTTTTTAATGCCTGAAGGATCTGTAGTAATACCCTCTTTTTTCAATACTGACTTTGAAATTATATTTTCTCTCTCTTGCTTCCTGATTTTTCTTGCTAAGGCTTATTAGTATTTTCACTTGTTTAAAAATTAACTTTTACTTTATTTTTATCATTTTAAATTTTGCTTCATTGACTATTTTCTTTTTTTTTATCTTTTGGATATAAGTTTTTGAACTTTTTCTAGATTTTCAAGGTGGATGACTAATTGGTTTGGCATTTTTTTCTAATACATTCTTTCTACACTAAACTTTCTGTGCATTATGAAGTAGCAATATTATAAAATTATAAAATTTTTGATTTAAAAGGTTATTGTTTAGTTTGAAATATTTTAAAATTTCCTCTTTGATTTTGAAAATAACTCATTGATTATTCAAAAGTATATTGCTTAGGTTCCAGGTACTTTTGAATTTCTGCTACAGAAAATCTGTAGGAACAGTATAGATCCTTCAGATACTAAAAGGATGGTAATTGGACAGATAAAGTGGACAAAATCTGAGAAAACACTACTTATTGAATTTAATTTCATTATATGTTTAATAAATTTTTACTCATAACCCTTTTCATAAGGCTGAGAGGTAACTTAGAGGTAGAACACTTGCCTAGCATCTGCAAGGGCATGGGTTTTCCTCAGTAGTGAAGAACAAATAAAAAACTATTCTACAAGGAAAATTTCACTTAGCCTCACCAATATTTTCCAATTTAACACAATTTGGTCAAGGAGCACAATCTGTGTGGTTCTACTCTTTTGGAGTATGAAACCCCTCACCCACAGAATATGTTTTTTTGTTTTTTGGTGATTGTTCTGTATGTATTACAAAGAACTCATACTTTGCTACTCCTAGGGGGAAAGCTGTATAGCAGGCAACTGGGCTACTTTTAGTAGAGAAGGGTTTAATGCAGTAATTGCTGAAAGCTGGGTGTTGGAACCTTATATTTAATTTTGAATGTGTGTATTTCTTTTCCTATTTTAAAATTTTCATTTTTGCTTCACATATTCAAAAGTTTTAATATTAGGTGTGTAAATATTTAGGATTGTTGTGTCCTTCTGATTGCTCATTTTATTACTCTAAAATTTTAATCCAAGACTCTTGTTGAGATGCTCCATATGCCATGTGTCTTCTTATAGCCTGGAAAGTTTAGGAATTAGTTTTGAATGTGATGCCCCTAGATGTGATATACATTTTATTTTGCTTCAGGGTTTTGAACTTTTTGGATATGAAAGTCTGTGGCTTTCATCAATTCAGAGGTATCTTGGCCATGTGTTTTGAGCCATATTTTCATTCCATCTCCATCTGAAAATATATAATAATTGTATGCTAAATCAAGACCTGCTGATTTGGTCCCACACATTTCAGATGTTTATTACTTTTATTATTCCATTTTCTTCCTCAGGTTTTGTTTCTAGATAATATATATTTACTTTCCTTCAGGTTCACTGATATTTTCTTTGATGTGTGCAGATGAGCCCATTACATGAGTCCTTTTCTGATGTATTTTCTATTGCAAGCATTTGAGATTGTTTTTAATGTTGTCATCTCTCTTTTGAAACTTCCCTATTTTTGCAAATGACGTTCCTCTTATTCGCTAAGTCCTTGAACATACTTGTCAGATCCACATTTAAAACCTTATTTGATATTTGTACTTCTGATATTTAGATAACCTCTGGATTTGCTTATACTCAATGAATTTTTCTGATGAGAAATCATTTTTTGTTTGTTTTTGCTTCTCATATCTTGGCAGAACCTTGGGAGATTTCTTTCAAGTTCTCAGTGTGGTTTCAGCTTTTTGGATCACTGACTTTCTCTTTTTTTTGTAGGTCTCCAGACTGTAAAGGACTGGAGTTTCTTTGGGGAGCTTTTTTCAGTTCTTTTGCACCTGCCACAACTTTCAGCAAGTCACTGCTTGGTAGATAGGGAAACTTTTGCCTGACTGGACAAAGGTGGGTGGGTGGGAGAGGATCACTCTGTGCTGTTCTCTATTGCTCCATGCATTCTACATCTTACTTGTCTACTCTGCACGTTTAATATGGACTTCTGGGGAGGAATTGCGGGAACATTTTCTTCCCGTGGCTAGGGCACTTTAGGGTTCTATTCTGAATTCTAATCTGACACACCAGCTTTGAATGATTTTTCTCACGTTTTTGCAAATTCCTCCTTATCACAATTCACTTTTGCCAGGAATCTCTTCTAATCTATAAAGGGCTACTAACTTCTGGACTTCAGTTCATTTAGGTGTCTTTAAATGCTCTTCTTGTTCTGTGATTAAGAAGAGCTCAGATTTGTAATTTACTGGACATGTTCTCATGGCTGCAATGATAATTGACAACTTTTCATATTAGAGCCAGAAATGAAGTCCTTATACTGGTATCTGAAAGATATAATAGTAAAATTACATAGTTAAGTGTTTTTGAATCAAATCAAATAGTTCTTAATGTTTTTATGATTACAGCTCATTTTGTAAATTAAATTCTGTTACTCAGTTTTCCCAAACACACTCACCAGATACCCTTTGAGTGTTTTTAAAAACTCAAATCCATATTTAAAAGAAGAATGTTTGCTATAATTCAGATGTTAAAAATAATGTTTTTCTACAGACTTCACCTAAAGGAAAAAGTCTAAATAAATATTTTGAGCAAATCTCAGTTTTAAAGAGTATACATTTTTTCTAAGACAATTATGAATTAAAAGGTATGTCATGGTTTTACTCTGCCTCTATTCATTTTGCTCTCGTATTCATATATTAAAACAGCTATTTTAGGTACATCTAAATTCTAATGATGATCATAGGGTTAATTAATGGCTGAACATTTGTCAGCATTTGCCTAATATATTTAACTTTTCTTTTTTTTTCCCTCTTTAGGAATCTCCAGAACCAAAATATTAGATTGAAAACAAACATGGCTCTCCATATTACCTTTCTTTGGATAGTTTTAATTGTGCTTCTCCAGAATTCTGCATTAGCTGAAGATGGGGAAATCAGATCAAGTAAGAACTATCAACACTGTCTCTTTTTGTATAAAGTATCCACCTTGTAGGATGGTGATCAGGACTAAATGATGGAAATAAATCTATATAAATGGATTAGCATAGTGATATTTCAGGAAACAGTGAACATTTCTTTGATTGGCTGTGAGAAATGTTACACTAGAGATAGAGAGCTATAATAATTGTGGTTCTGCTATGCAGGCCATTATTTGCAAACTTCTTTTTAGAAGTTTGCTTATAGTTTTATTTTAAAATTTATGAACATAAACTGTATAAATCAGCTAAATCTAACAGTTAAAGCATATGGTTCAACAATTTGATTCTATTTGACTGTAAATTTATTAAATAATAATATTTAATGTTTGTATAACTTTCTCATAGCATAATCCACCCAAGCACTCTACCAGATATATACCCTTGTCTACATTTTCAGCATAAATAGAGATGTACAAAATTAAAGTGCTTTGCTTAGCGTCCTTCAGCTGGTTACTGCAGTTACTAGTATTTGAAGTCCTTTTTATCTTTAATTCTAATCCTTTCTTATGATATAATTCATCTCTCTAAGCAGAAGTCTCTTGTATTTTGTCTGGAGTTTGTAAGTGGCAATATTTGCTTTTGTACCCCTGCTCTTGGGTAACCTTACAGTTATGAAATACATGACCTGTGGATCTATGACAGGAGAGGTATAGGAAGAGCCAAGAACAACCCCGTAAGAACTATAACCACAGAATCAGGTGGCACACAAATACCAACAGGTTCAGACAATACGAATGTCTGTATTTAGGAAGAGCCAACGTTGAAGATCTCTGCAAAGACAACTTTTCTAGCCTTTTGTTTCTCCCAATAAAAATATGAAAGCATAACCAGCCTGGTTTCCAGAACTAACAGAAGGTTGGCATTCTTTTAGTTTTGCAAATTTGCCCGTAGGCAGAATTCCATTCCTGCTGACCCTGCCCTGAACACTGGGAGTAGTTCCCATGGCAGAGGTTCATGAAAGTGTAACCTTTATACCCTTCTGAGGGCACCATCACTTGTAATATAGCATCTTAGTAATGCGTAGTGTCATAATCACATTAAATGTTTCTGAAAAATCCATGTTTTGTCATTTTGTGGTAAGTTCTTGACTTATCAAAATTCACTTAACATTATGTTTATTTTTCTGGTGTCTGTGATGGGTGAGTTACGGTAATTATGAAATTGGAGTGTCTTCAAAATCTTCTCAATATCCCAGGTATCTAAGTAGAAATAAATATGGGAAGGAAAGAGATAGAAAGAAAAGATAAAACAAGGAAAGGGAAAAGGGAAAGTAGCTTGATTTATCCCTAAGGAGATGCAAAAATAGCAGGACTACTAATTATCACTAATCAATATTTTCATTAGTACCTACTTCATAGTTATGATATCTTATTCTCTAATATTTACAGAAAAGAAACCATCTTTATTTTCACTTTAAATTGGACATCTGGTTAGTACCTAAGAGAGTCCATTAATATGAGCAAAATCAAAAGACTCAGTATTTGTTCTTTCAGTACTTTAACTCTACATTTCATCTTTTTCCAGCTCCTCATTTTGAGCTTTATATGGTTCTTTCCAAACCAAAGGTAACTGTGCTGCATTTTATAAACAAAAATGAATATAAAATTATCTGTCATGAGGGTCATAAACCACAGCCATTTTTGCTGTTTTGAGTGTGGAAATTAGGAAAGGAGAAGGCAAATACGGTGGTTCCTGACTGCGGTATGTTGGTCATTCCCAACTATTGGGTTTCCCAAACAAACCAGTTTTTTTTTTTTGTCTATCTTTCATCTCTGGGCCTTAGGACTTGCTGATTCTTTCAAATATCCTCTTCTTCATTTGGTTAAAATATTCATTTCTCAGAGATTGTTAGCTTTTCATAAAGCCTTTCCTTAATTTTCCACAGTTAGGTTGTTATTCCCTTTTGAGTGTTTCCATAATACTTGGCACTTTTGCTAGCCAGCACATTTTCTGTCTTATTAGACTGTGAGATTTTGGGAAATCTTGTATACATTTGAACCTTGTTCATAGCATAATGTCATATTAAGCTGCCAATCTACTATACTAAAAAAATTTAATCGGCCTAGAAACTTGTATACTGTTGAAAGAGTTAAGGAGATGTTTTTCTTTTTCTTTTTATAACTGCTTATAATTTGTCTAGGTCTAAGTTGCACTGTCGTTCTTATCCTAATGAAACTTTAAGATACATTGCCTATATGATCTTATGATTTGTCAAAACAAGAAGTCCTTATCGAGAAATAAATGGCTTTCTGTCCTTGAACGTAAGATTCATTTAACAGGAACTGATGTCCTGTTGTATTATTGGCTGTAGAGAGATCAGAACTTTAAAACTAATCTTGGATGTAGTGATCTTGTGATCTTGTCCTATGTAAGTTTTACCAACTATATTAGTATGAAATTGTATTGGACAGTTGAGTCTTGAAGTTGACAGAAAATTGGTTTTAACTTCTCTCTCATTCATTGGTTTGTAGTTTTAGATGCTTCCTTTTAGCATTAAACAACACATTTCACTGATTATTTGAAGTAAGCAATGATGTTAGTGCGTAGCTGAAAACTCCATGCCTTTTACACCTTTCACTTTCTGGTTTTCATAAAATGAATGTGCTCTGGTGGTTTTGTTTTTTGCTTAGGCTGCCGTACAGCTCCGACTGACTTGGTTTTCATCTTAGATGGTTCCTACAGCGTTGGCCCAGAAAACTTCGAAATAGTGAAAAATTGGCTTGTCAATATCACAAACAACTTTGAGATAGGACCAAAGTTTATTCAAGTTGGAGTGGTCCAGTACAGTGACTACCCTGTGTTGGAGATCCCCCTGGGAAGGTACGATTCGGGAGAGGATTTGATGGCAGCGATGCAGTCCATACTCTACTTGGGAGGAAACACGAGGACTGGGAAGGCCATCCAGTTCGCACTTGATTACCTTTTTGCCAAGTCCTCACGATTTCTAACTAAGATCGCAGTGGTGCTCACAGATGGGAAATCCCAAGATGAAGTGAAGGACGCAGCAGAAGCTGCGAGAGACAGTGGAATAACATTATTTGCCATCGGTGTTGGTTCAGAAACAGAAGATGCAGAACTTAGAGCAATTGCTAACAAGCCCTCCTCTACATATGTGTTTTATGTAGAAGACTATATTGCAATATCCAAAATCAGGGAAGTGATGAAGCAGAAGCTGTGTGAAGGTGAGTCTTTGCATCCCATGGAAGCGGTAATTGCAGTTTCTTACATTATGGTGTTACCTGTCCATTAACACTGATGTAACTACTCTATTATTTTTTTTTCTTTTTATTGAGTTTATTTGTGCAATCTAGGTATGCAATACAGTTACATTCATTACTGGGATCCTGTACCTTCACATGAAAGGTTTTTGGTTCTCATTTTTTCCCCTTGTCCCTGCCCTCCCTTCACCCACTCCCTTCACCCACTTCACCCATTTACAAACTCTTTATTTCCGTTTTTTCATATTTTTTATTTTCCCTTATTTCCTTCCCCTAACCTTCCCACTTTCCCTACACCTTTAGCCCTTTTCTTCCTATTTCACACTATTAATTATCCCATTAGGATCTTGTGTACTATTACAGTTTTTCACACCAGAGAAACTATTATATTTAATGTCACATTATTCATAGCATCAGAACTGAGGTGAGCACACATTTTGGGGCAGTACTTATTCTGGATAAATATTATTTTTAAAATAGTTGTAATAAATTTCTAATAAGAAAAATTTTTGCTGCATTTAGTTTTCCTTTCAATTACATCTATGATGATAGAAAATAAAGACAATAAAGGGACTAGAACCAGCTCAGTGGTTCCGCTGCCTGCCTTGCAAGTGCAAGGACCCAAGTTTGATCCCCTTTGGGGCAGTACTTATTCTGGATAAATATTATTTTTAAAATAGTTGTAATAAATTTCTAATAAGAAAAATTTTTGCTGCATTTAGTTTTCCTTTCAATTACATCTATGATGATAGAAAATAAAGACAATAAAGGGACTAGAACCAGCTCAGTGGTTCCGCTGCCTGCCTTGCAAGTGCAAGGACCCAAGTTTGATCCCCGGTATACAAATAAACCATATATCATCACATAACTCTTGCAAATGAATTTTTCTGTTTTTCATTCATCTTTTCTTCCTTTTTTCTTATGCATCTTAGAGTTTACCTGCTTGCCAATACTGTTACATACATAAATTTGTAGTCTTACACTCTACTGTGTACATAATGTTTTACTGTTCACATGGTAACAGTCTCCTGTAGTAGTTTAATAATTTTCCAGTTTTATGCTTTTAGCCTATTATTGTTTTATTTATATAAATAATAGTGAATATTCTTGTACATAATTCTGAATAAGAACCTTTTATTTTTTCAGAAATGTCAAATTACTGATATTTTAAAAGGTCTGGGGAAATGGTGAACTTTGTACTTGAAAAAGACTTAAGTCCTTCCCAAAAAGCATCTTAATAATAAAGTACTTAGTACTGATTATTTCATAAAATCCAACTTCGTGCTTTTGAGGGTATAGACGTGCTTATGTTTGGATTATTTGGGGAGGATAATTTATTAATGTCCTTTATTTTTTAGATTATAGACATTTAGTTATCAATGTTGATATGAAATTTAAAATTTTTTATTTTCCACTTTACCTTAAAAGACTATAAAAATAGGTTGGTTCACATTTAATGAAAAAATTCCTATATGTTTGTATGGGCAACAAATTGTGATATTAAGTATTCTGTTTTGCTCATGTTTTGTTTAGCAAAAATAAAGACTTTCTCTACAATTCTTATCTAAGATATCCAGAAATTCAAGCATCTCTCTTGACCAAACATTACCACAAAGTACCGTAACAAGTACATATGGTCATCACTATATTTTTTTTGTTGTTGTTTGCTTGTTTTGCTTTTCATACTGGGGATCGAACTCAGGACCTTGTGCTTTCAAGGCAAGCAGCAGAACCACTTAGCTAAATCCCTGGCCCATCACTATGTTTTTAATGAGTCTGAAATAGTGACACTGAGTCAACTTTCATCATCTTGAACAAGTTAAAGAGATTAGTTTTTTTCCATAGGCTCTCACATTAGTTAGAATTTCTTAATTTCAAAGCCAAATATATTTCATTACTAAATTTTTCCTGGAGGCATTTTACTTAAGCATTTTGTTCTAAAGTATAAATGTAAGTGACGAAATATCTTTGTTTGTTATTTGTTTCAGAAATATATTTGGTAGAGATACACTTTGGTAAATGCATTCTTTTAAGAAAACTTGATTATGCATGAAAGTAGTGGTGCTTAAAAGGGTAAAAATGTTTTTTTTCAGCTGAAATGTCCGACGTGTCAATAAACTGAAATTTTGCCAAATATTTCTTTATCCACACTCAAAGAAAAGATTTAAGAAATGTTTGTGTTTATTCATTTCACATACATACTTCTTGAATAGTTATCTTTTAAAATGTAGTTTTTGAAATTATACTTATGAGTATCTTTTTGTTGTTCTTGTCTTTTTATAGTCTCTTTTTATAATCAATGCACTAAATTAATATATTATCTTAGAGAAACCTCAACTCATATAATTTGCCCTAGAATCATTTGACAGTTCACATGCTGTTTTGACAAATAGTTAAATTCTTCTGCAAAGTACTTAATATATAATATTATTTGCTAATAATTTTAATTTTTATATTCTGCTGTGGTTGATTTACAGTGAAGAATGTATTTACCTGTTTGTGACCTCACAGTTTGTTTCATCTTCGTGGACCTACTGTTTCCCTAGAAGGGCTACCTTCAGTATTTTCTCTTTGTGAAGGCCACCATTTTTGTGATAGGCAATGGTTTATTTATCTATTTCCTTGAAAGCCTATTATTATTATCATCCTCATTGCTACCACTACTACTGCTACTCCTTCTATTCCTCTTTTTCTGCTTCTTTTGCTCCTCCTATTCCTCTCATAAAACATACATGGCATGAAATCTATTAGCAAAATTAAATTGTATGGTATCATGAGCTATACACACAGTGCTCTTTAGAAATTTTCATCTTAAGTACAACTCAATTTTCAGGCATATATCCAGATAGATCTTAATATATGGAGAATTACATAATTCTCTATTTGCTTCTTTTCCAAGACACTGATTTCCTCATTATTCTTTCTGTTTCTAAGAATTTAACCACTTTGGATACATAACTAGCAGCATGTTTGTCCTTCTGTGACTGGCTTATTTCACTAAGTATGACATCTTTAAGATCCGTCATTGTCTCACATGATAGGCTTTTTTAATGGATGAATATTATGGTATAATACTTATACACCACATTTTTTATTTATCCATTTTCTCATTCATCTATCCATGGATTTTTAAGTTATTTGCACCTCTTAGCAATTGAGAATAAGCCTCCGTTGAATATATAGAAAACAAATAATTCTTCAAGATTATTTTTTTCCTCAATTCTCTTTGATGGATGTGCAGAAGTGGGATTGCTGTATCATGTGGTACTATGGTTCAAATCTAGAGTGTCCCTCAAAAGCCTCATTATTCAGAAGTGGGACTTTTGGAAGATGATTGGATCATGTGGGTGATCAGTTGACTTGCTATTAGGAGGTAGGGCCCGATCAGAAGAGGTGGCCCCTGGGGGCAGAACCCGGAAGGGTGTATCTCCCTTCTTGGTTCTTCACTTCGCTCTTTACTTCCTTTTGGCCATGATGTGAGCAACTCTCTTCCCCATCACACCCTTCCTCCATGCCTTTGCTGTCTTAACGCCAGCCAACCATGGACAGAAAGTGAGCCAACATAAGCCTCTCCTTCTTTAAATCATAGGTGTTTGGTGTTTTGTCTCAGCAATGAGAAGGTTATAAGATATAGAATAATCCTATTTGTAATTTTTAAGGAAGCTTCATACACTTTTCCATAGGATTCCATCAACTGACATCACAGGCAACAGTGTATAAGTTTCAAATTCTCAAGACCCTTGTCAGTACTTACTTGCTGATTTTTCCTCCTGGCCATCCTAACTTGGTTTTGATTTTATTTACTTGAGAATTAACGATATAAAGCATTTATCATAAACCTCTTGGCCTCTTACATTTTCTTTAGAGAAGCATCCATTCAATTCCTCTCCTCATATTTGAAAAGAGGCCTTTTCTGTTGAATTATAGTAGTTACTTAGTTCAGATGTGAACCACTACAAGATACATGATTGGTGATTAGTTTCTCAATCTGCGGGTTTCCTTTTTTCTCCTTTTCACTGATTGCTTTGCTTTGCTGATTTCACATAATGTAATCCTATTTTGAGTATTTTTGCTTTTGTGCTTGTACTTTTTGTGTCAATTTAGGATATCATTAACAAGACCAATGTTGTGAAGCTTTTCCACTCTTCTTTCATGAGTTTTATAGCTTCAGGTTCGTTTTTGTGGGATTGTGTAAGTTAATGGTTCAATTTCATTCTTTAATATGTGGATATCCAATTTTCCCAGCAATATTGATTAGAGAGACTATTCTTGGCTCATTGTGTAATTTGGGCACTCTTGTTAAAGACTATTTACATTTATTACCCCCCCCATGCTATTCGGTTCTGTTGGTCTGTAGTCTGTCTTGCTTTCCACATTATATTGATTACTATATCCTTGTTAGAAAATGAATTCAGGAAGGTTGTGGCCTCTGGCTGCTTTTTTTCCTCCTCAATGTATTTTAGATATGTGTGGTCCTTTATGGTCCCATGTAAATTTTAAAGTTTTTTCTTTTTTTTTGGTACTGGGGATTGAACTCGGGTCCTTGCGCTTGCAAGGCAGGCCACTGAACCGCTGAGCTAAATCCCCTGCCCATTAAAGTTTTTTTCTATGCTTGCAAAAATTAGGAATTTTATAATGATTGCACTGAGTATGTAGAAAGTTTTGGGTAGTAGGAACATTCTAAAAAGGAGTCTATTAATCTATGAAAATGAGATTGTTCCATTTATTTTTGTCATTTCATTTTAGCAGTGCTTTATAATTTTCAGTGTCTAATTCTTTGGACCCCTTAGCTAAGTTGATTATTAAATATTTTACTTTTTCTTGCTGTTGTTAATGTGATTTTTTTTTTGACACTGGATATACTGGTGGAATAAGGATAATTCATGTTTCTAACTTCTTATCATTATTTTGTGCTTGAAACCTATCTTCTGGTTATTCACAAAAAATGGAATAAGTTATTGTGA